TTTTATGGTTTTAGTTTTAGTTAACGATAAAAACCCTGTTTTTAGCTTCTTCAACATAGCCACTCGTTACAGCTTTAACCACCCTGGGCATTCTCTCAACTTCATGAGGTGCCACCTGAGATGCTTTTTAAACAGTTTTGAAGGAGTTCCGATTTATGCTGGGCATGCTTGTTGCATGTTGGCTGCTTTCCTTCACTATCCGGTCCAACTCATCCATTTCCACTTTCAGGCATAAGCCTTTAGATCAAAAGCTTTTTAAGATCATGGGAAACAAGTTTAGTTCATTTTGTCCAACATTTTGTCTGGTATTGTGTATTAGTATTTGTTTTGTACATATGTGACCCTGGACCACAAAACCAGTCTTAAGTCGCTTGGGTATATTTTTTAGCAATAACCAAAAAAAAAACATTGTATGGGTCAAAATGCTCGATTTTTCTTTTATGCCAACAATCATTAGGATATTAAGTAAAGATCATGTTCCATGAAGATATTTTGTAAATTTCCTACCGTAAATATATCAAAACGTAATTTTTGATTAGTAATATGCATTGCTGTGAACTTCATTTGGACAACTTTAAAGGCGATTTTCTCAGTATTTCGTTTTTTTTGCACCCTCAGATTCCAGATTCTCAAATAGTTGTCTCTCGGCCAAATATTGTCCTATACTAACAAACCATACATCAATGGAAAGTTTATTTTTCCAGCTTTCAGATGATGTATAAATCTCAATTTCACAAAATTGACCCTTATGACTGGTTTTGTGGTCCAGGGTCACATATGTTTTTAACTTCTTTTTAACTTCCTCAGGTGCATGTTTGGATTTGGAGGTTTCAACTGCAATAATTGTAAGATTTTATTTTCTTTTAATTTACATTTTTATTTTTATTTATAAAATCTTTAAAATTAGCTTTATTTTATAACTTAATTATTTAGCGGTGTGATATATAAAGCTCGTGGAAAATGTATCATTCAGTTAAATTGTATTATTTTCAGACTTGTCAATAAATAAAAGAACTTTGTCACTAAAATGATCTTGGTTAATAGTCTATAAGCTGATAGCCGTGGTGGTCTCTCCTGCTGGAGGAGCTCTTCTGTTGATTGTCGTCATTGCCCTTGTAGTCACCTGCTGCAAGTAAGCTAATGATATATATGCAACAGATAAATATCTTGGGAAATTTTAAACTACAAAAATGTCTCAAAAATATTTTTGTTTGTTGCATTCTCAGAAAGGACAAAAATGACATCAACAAAATCATTTTCAAAAGTGGAGACCTTCAGATGTCGCCCTACGCAGAGTTTCCTAAGAGTAATCGTGTGTCTATGGAGTGGGGCCGAGAGACTATTGAGATGCAGGAGAACGGCAGTACCAAAAATCTCCTGCAAATGACAGACATTTATTACTCGGTGTGCGATCATATTAATTCATATTATAATGCCAGAAATGAGCATTTATGGAGGCTTTGGTTTTTGAATTTGTCTAATATTGAAGCTCCGCCATGGAATAAAAAAGGTAATTGGACTTTTTTTTTTCACAATTCAGAGTTTTTTCCCCTCACAGTTCTGAGTTTAAATTTCACAATTCAGACTTTTTCCTCGCAGTTGTGTTGTTGATGTTAACTTGCAATTAACATCTCACATTCTGTCTCGAATTTATATTTCTCAGAAACTGAGAGAAAAAGTTTGAAACTCATGAAAAAAAGTCTAAATTATGAGAATAAACGTGCAGTTGTGAGGGGGAAAAAAATTCTGAATTGTGAGATTAAAAAGTTGCAATAACCATTAACATTTTTAAATTCCGTGGCGGAAATAAGCTTCCATAGTCTCATGATGTTTAAATATAAATAAATAATAAAAAAACACTTCACATGGCCATGCAACATACTGAATTGGTTAATTTTCCACATGATTAGCTAATATGTGACTATGTACTATTCTCTCTTTAAGCCTGCATTGAGGAACTCTGACCTGGAACGTAATGGTCTGTATCCGTTCTCCGGCCTCCCCGGTTCGAGGCATTCCTGCATCTACCCAGCTCAGTGGAACCCTTCCTTCATAAGCGATGATTCACGGCGAAGGGACTACTTCTGACAGCCTTACTCAGCAGGTGTGCAATTTGATACTGCATATAAGCTCTCTCTGTATGGTTGGACCTGTCGCAGATCTTGGAGCTGAATACTGACCACTAAAGGCCTTTGAATGTGAAAATGAGCTGGCAGGAAAAGACCATTATCTGCGAGACTGGAAGAAAGCCACAGAGGCCTGTCGGGGTCAATTTAGCATTTGAACAGTCCCACAGTAAGACATTAGTTTCTGGTGTGGAGCTGATGAACTGATGTTCTCGTAGCTCCTCGCAGAGTGTTTATACTTAAGTGGAAGTCAGTGAATTTAGAATAACGCATAAGATGCCTGAGCTACAGTATAACTATTATATTATAAAAGTTTGCACTATGAACTCAAACAGATATTATCTCAAATGGAAAAAGCCATAAATGTATCATATTTATACTTGGAATAATGTACCCAACTTGTTTGTACTGAGTTTTGTGAGTGATGGGGTATCTAGATGTCTGTTTGTGTATGTTAATCAAAAGTTGGTTAAAGGGATAGTTCACTCCAAAATGAAAATTCTGGTATCATGTACTCACCTGAAAATACCTGAAAATAATGTCAAAGCTGCTCTTGTCTTAACTATAAAATCTTTTCAGACTCTTTCTCATAACATATAGATTCAGAAGACATGGATTATACTGCATAAGTCTTATTGACCATTATCAGGATGTTTTATGGTGCTTTTTGGAGCTTAACAGCCGCTGGTCCCCATTCACTGGTCCCACATTGTATGGAATAGAGCAGTGTGAACATCATTTAAAACATCACCTCTTTTGCTCCGTGTTACAAAAATGTATTTGGAACAATATGAGGCCATTATTAAATTTTTGGGGTAAACCATCCCTTTAATGCTTTATCTGAGAAATGTGAGATTTACGCTGGAGAATTAAACCTGTGTGAAAGCTGGTAGGACATTGAAACACAATATTACTGGATGCAGCATTCGTGTGAAATGTAGCAAATATTGCCACAAGGTATTACCGTTTGTTTGAACAACCGTAATAATCATAAAACGTAGTGCTGCCTTGTCTGTTTCCTAATTTATTTTATTTAAGTTTTGTGTTTCAGATAAAGATACTGTAGTATTATCTGAGGACCTCCAATGTGTTTGTATGGATGCTTGGTGGTGCATGAGACGGACTTGACCTGGTTCCAGGTGTCCGTTTTATTTGATCTAATGTGTGTTCTTGTGAGATGTGCTTTATTTGTAACCTTTAATATCAGAGACTGCTTTTCTCATTAGCATTTTCCCCCTCCTCTGTGGATGGACACTTGAATCTGGCGTTGTAGTCAGAATTGTATTGTAAAATAATAGAGAAATAAAGTTTGATTTCTTATGTTTGTGTTTGTTGTAATTGTTAATTTCTTGAATTTGAAACAATTACTTACTCAAAAGTGACATCTGACCCTTCACTAAACCCAGCCTTAAAAGACTGAGCTTATCTTTGACAACCTTTTGGCCTTTTCTAAAGTTCTAAAATGTAAACATGATGAAGGATCTTTATATTTGGATATTTGTCATTTGTTTTTCTCTGACATGGCACTACTCTTTTGAAGCAACTATCCTTTTAGGTGTTGGTCAGTCAAAATTCTGCCTAATGGCTAAAACTATTGTTAGAAAACTACAAACCCTGAAATGACCTCTTCCCTAATCAGTCAATTTAGGCTATGTCACTTCTGACAGCATGATTTAAAGGGAAGCTTTGTTGGGACAGCACTCAAACTAAATCGGTCTATAAATATTCTGAAGTGTGGGTGGATATAAAATGTTTTCATGGGCATGAACTAATTTATAGTTCATGAATATAGGCATGATTTACAGTCAAAATAAATATTTAAAATGACTTGTGGTTTAAATGGTTAAATGTCAGAACACCATTTATGTATAAGAACATCATTTGCATTAATTTGAATGGACATGAAATTATGTGTTGACATTTGCAAACCACAAACTCACTTTTCCTCTATGCAAAAGGGTAAAAACAGTAAATACATTTATTATAGATTGAATATTCATGTGTTCATTTTTAAAAATTTATTTATTTTTGCTTCAAATAGTTTTGATTTGAATTTATGTGGTGATTATTCAGAAATATACATTCTGTATAATGCAAATGCACTGTAGAAATTCAGACATGGCTTACTGTTATGTCGTACCAAAGACTATAGGAGACCTTAAAGGGACTTTGGTTGTACTCTATTCAGGGTTATTCATGTGTGTGTAATGTATTTATTCTTTGTAATCAATACTTCACAGTTTTTCTTAGCATAATGTTATCATTCTGACATTGCCAATAGTTTTAAATTATATAAAACATATGAGAAGACATTGAGAAGTGCAATTATATGAGCTTTGTTGGGACAGCACTCAAACTAAATCGGTCTATAAATATTCTGAAGTGTGGGTGGATATAAAATGTTTTCATGGGCATGAACTAATTTATAGTTCATGAATATAGGCATGATTTACAGTCAAAATAAATATTTAAAATGACTTGTGGTTTAAATGGTTAAATGTCAGAACACCATTTATGTATAAGAACATCATTTGCATTAATTTGAATGGACATGAAATTATGTGTTGACATTTGCAAACCACAAACTCACTTTTCCTCTATGCAAAAGGGTAAAAACAGTAAATACATTTATTATAGATTGAATATTCATGTGTTCATTTTTAAAAATTTATTTATTTTTGCTTCAAATAGTTTTGATTTGAATTTATGTGGTGATTATTCAGAAATATACATTCTATATAATGCAAATGCACTGTAGAAATTCAGACATGGCTTACTGTTATGTCGTACCAAAGACTATAGGATACCTTAAAGGGACTTTGGTTGTACTCTATTCAGGGTTATTCATGTGTGTGTAATGTATTTATTCTTTGTAATCAATACTTCACAGTTTTTCTTAGCATAATGTTATCATTCTGACATTGCCAATAGTTTTAAATTATACAAAACATATGAGAAGACATTGAGAAGTGCAATTATATGAAAACTAGACTGAAAAAAAAGATAAATGTATAAATAATCAAATTGTGTATTTTTATTTGCCTACGTACTACAAGTTTTCTTAAGAAAGAAAACCTTTTATATATTTTATTCAGTTATTGTTTCAGGTGACATGTGGCACGCTTATAGAAATATATGTGCATAAGTTATAAGATCATTAGTTATTAGTGACTTGACCTTGTTGTTTCAGCTCTTAACTCAGTTGTTGCAGTCCCACCTGGTGGACTGAATGCATATTACAATCAACTTATGTTCAGAGCAGCTGAAGCGTTCCAACTCGTTATCGTTCTTGAAACGCCCTGCGTTTCATGCCTATACAAGAAAAAAGCAAAGCAAACATTGAGAGCAGCTCTCAGGACAACCCCCCTTCTTCAGTCAACCAGAAAGAAAAAAATGTTTGGTATCCAGAGGTGGGACGTTACCAGGAACTGCAGAGCTCAAATCTGGGTTATTTCCTTTAGAAATCATAAAGTATAGCCTACTATCATTGTTAAATAGTATACTATGTGCATAGGAAATATGTGCAATAATATTTTCTCCTGACAGTTAAAAACTTTGCCTCAAATATCATGTCATGGCTGATTGATACCTTCATGACTGCAGTCACAAAAACTAGCACGTTATCAACAACCGAGCACATGCGAAGTGCCTGGATAACTAAATATTAAAAGAAAAGAAAAGTGAAACTAAAGGTGGCTAGAAAAAAAAAAGGCCTACTCAGTATTTTTTTATATGTATGTATAATAGAAATACGTTTAGGTGAATATTAGATTTAGCTTAGGCCTATGTAAAGCTATTTTAATGTAGCCTATTTGTAGCTGCGTCCAATAAAAGTAACAGAGTAGCCTACATAACAACCAGCTCTCTCTCTCTCTCTCTCTCTCTCTCTCTCTCTATGTTCTCCGGTTGCGGCTATTCTGCGGTGTGAAGGAAAATCGGACGGGATCCGTCGATATCTGCTCACAAAACTGAAAAAATCTATTTTTTATTACTTGAAGATGTTTATGGGTCGTTTATTGATGATCGTCTATTTCTGGACTGTGCGGTTTTTGTTGTTGAAATGAGCGGCTGTTAAAGGTGAGATGATGACGTTATTTGTCCAATTCTGCCGTTATTTTCATAACGTTACGCTTATCGCGTGAGCGACAAATAGTTGTAGTCTATCCGTTTACAGATATCTTCAGTTGTTCATCAGGTTTCTAATATAATTAGACAGATCGTCTTAAATTACGATTGTTATTGATAAAGTTAGAGAATATCAAAAACATTATTCACTTTCTCACAGTCATATCGCTTGTATCTGTCATATCATATGTATCTGTTATAATATTCGGCGTCTTTAACAGATCTGTCGCTTAAGTCACAGTTTCAGGTGACGTTTAAGCTCTGGATCGGAGGTTATATCCATCAGTCCCAGGACGGGGATAGGGAATGAGTCCATCTTTTATCCAAACATCAGATCAAAAGTAATTAAATCCAGATTTCATCCTCTGCTTTGTGTGGAAATATGGACTGCAGCGGTGTTGCACTAGGTTTGGATGTGGATAATAGTTTTGGACAAATGATTTGGCAGAACCTCCCTTCCATGGTGCATCTGGATCTCCTGTCCTCTAAAGGTTCTCCTCAGCTCCCGGAGATGCTCCTATCGCCTTTGTTCCAGGATTCACATCCCAAAGCCTTTCTGCTGTCAAGCCCAGAGCCATTACTCACCCTTCTCTCCTTGAACAGAAACTCACCAGGTACTCCTGCTGGTGCTGGTGCTTCACAAATGTGTTTCATGCCCACACTTGAAGACAAAGGACAAGACGGGGTCGAGCCCAGTCACAACCTCACACCTCTGCAACATGGTTGTTCTACAAGAGATTGCCAAGCTGGCACCAAATCACTTTCACACAGCAGGAAGAACAATGCTTTAAACCAAACACTGGTTAGAACTATGGAGGAACTAAAGGAAGGACTGATGATTCAGTCATTGTGGCATCTCTCCCAGCACATTTCATTGGCAAATCGAGCCAGTCATTTACAACAGAGGGTGCTGGCGATGCTCGGTGAACATGCTTCTAGGCACTATAGCCACCAACTGGATGGTTTGAAGAAGGAACTTCTTGAAGCACGCCATTCCCCCAAGATCCCCATGACACCAGAGTGTCTTTTTGAGACGTTTAATGGTGTAGAGATGCAGGAAGCAGAGCAGGCTCTTATAAGAAACCCCCAGTACCCTCAAGCACATGGGCAACCTCTGAAATCCAGAGATTTGCAGAATTTAGCACACAATGGTCAAGCTGTTCTGCATGGAGTGCTGGAGGCTCTGGACTCAGACGCCACCGTAAGCAGCTCAGATGAGGAGTGGGACCAGGAAGATGCCAAAGGGACCTCAGTGGATTCACAGTGAGTATGATGTGATTTTGAATGGTCTTCTTAATTAATGTTGACCTTCTAATCAAGGTGAGTGTTGACACATGGGAAGAAATTAACCTTAATGTAAGACATTAACAGAATGGGTCAGCCAAAAATCTAAATTTGACCATTATTTACTGTATTTACAAGTTATTCTAAACCTCTATGCTTTTGTTTTTTCGATAGAACACAATAGGGAAAATGTTGAACATCACACAGCTCTTTCTATACAATAGACAGTATGCAAGTCGCAATGCTTGGAGGTTATAAACAAAACATAAGACTCTCTGTAGCTTCAAAATAAAATAAAAAACAACATTGGGTGAGATCTTGAAATAGGTGAATTAGTAGTTGCCAGGCAGTAAAGAACTTTTAATGACTAGCCGTGAGTCTTTGGCAAGAACAGAGGGAGCGTAACAACAAGTTTGGGAAAACAAACAGCCCCATAGAAGATGGAGAGAGGAAGCATTTGGCTCTGGCAGTGTTGTATTTTTCTTTAGGATCTTTGCTCACATAACAGAGGCACTCTATTCAGTACACAGCTGTTGAGAAATTGTCACCATATTTCTCCCCCAGGTTGAAGATTTTTATCTAGTGTGTTCATGTGCGGCTGGCTTGTCCTCCGATTCTGATTCTGTGCAGCCACACTGAAGCAGACAGCTGCACTCTCCTTTCCCTGGGATGAGTAAATAAATAGAGATCAGGCCGCCCTTCACCAGCCCGTAGATCAGAGCTTTCATGTCCCTCTCTGTGATTTGTTCGCCCACTCTGCACTTATGCTGTAAGATCGCAGCATATGATGCGAGAACATCTCTCAAAATACACATCTTTGAAGGGGATAGGCTACACACCAAAATCCCCAGAGTTAAATCAACTCTGCTCAGAGTACATATTGTTCCAATCTACAGAGTGTTATAGTAACACTGAAGCAGAGTTACCACTGTTGAGGATTATGTGATACGTTTTCATGTCTAAAAGCCTGAGCAGTAGCTGTTCATCTTCAACATTGTTAACAGCGGGTTTTCTTTAATAATGCTCACTCATCAATTAAATAATTGCTTAATTATCCCATTAACTTTAACTCGGCTTCAGTGTTACTTTAGCACTCTGTAAATTGGGACAATATGTACTCTGAGCAGAGTTGATTTAACTCTGGGGATTTTGCTGTGTATCTTTCAGGAAACTCCTAGTAAATGGGAATGATTTATTGGAGTGCTTTTTAGTAGAATCATTAAAATCCCTCATTCAATAGGAATGTTATTGAGAGACTTGTCAAGAAGGAAGGGACAAGGAGTCTGTAAAAAATGTATCTTTTTTTAAAAATAATTCTACATAAGCACAAAGCTAAGGGCTACAAAGGTTTTATGGGGTTCAGGAATTGAGGTTGGCAGGGGGAGCACATTTTGGGTGTGTGCTGAATTTTGCCCATGCAGTATTAAGTGCTGTCACAAATGATATGGGTCAATGACGATAAGCTCATTTTTTGTCCTGTCTATCAAAACAAAATACATAAAAAATGGTGTTTATACATGCAATGACTTGAGTACTTGAGTATATATATACAGTGGTGTGAAAAAGTGTTGGCCCCCCTCTTGTTTTTAAATTTTTTTGCATATTTGTCACATTTAAAAGATTCAGATCATCAGACAAATTTTAATATTACACAAAGATAATGCAAGTAAATACAAAATGCAGTTTTTAAATGATTACAACTGTTTTGATTCTCATCTGTTCTTGAATCTCTTTAGATTGTGGCATGATGTGTTGCTCTTTAAGCATGCTTCACTTTGTCAGACAGGTTCTATTTAAGCGATTTCTTGATTCAACAGCTCTGGCAGTAATCAGGCCTGTGTGTGGCTAGTGAAATTTAACTCAGCTTTCTAAAATAATGTGGTTAATTGCAGTTCTTTCATGATTTAACAGGAGGGGGCAATATATTTTTCACGTAGGGCCACGTAGGTCTGGACAGCTTTTTTCTCTTAATAAATGAAATCATCATTTAAAAACTGCATTTTGTATTTACTTGCATTATCTTTGTGTAATATTTAAATTTGTTTGATGATCTGAAACATTAAAGTGTGACAAACATGCAAAAAAATAAGAAATCAGGAAGGGGGCCAACACTTTTTCACACCACTGAATATATATATATATATATATAGGCTATATATATATAGGCTATATATATGAATATATACAGTATGAATATATTTTTTAAATATATGTAGTTTTTTTATTTTAGTTCTATTTACTTTAGTAGAAAAAAAAATTTCTTGGCAACTAGCTGAAATAATATAGATTTTTAGTTTTTTTTTAAGTATATTTATATATTTTATTCTAAGTAACGAAAATGCTTTATGGTTTTGGTTTTAATTAAATATAATAACCCTGAACTATGTTAAACTTTGTTCCATTACACTCAAGTTGCCTCAAATCAACAATTGTCATTGAAAATGAATAACTTCCGATTACTTTGTTGCTGCAAATTGCTGTAAAAGTGAATGCCCTTTAGTCTTGGTCGCAGCCAGCTGTGGTTGTTGGCTCTGCCTCTCGTCAGGCCATGACAACATAGTTTCAGTGACTTTTCCATATGTCAATTTTTGCATCTCATCAGAGTTTCAAGCCGGTGGCCATTGCTCTGGATTCTCTGGAGAAGCTGGATATGAGAACATTGCTATAAGGTTTTAAGTGAGTTATCTGGCTTTGCCCACCGAATTGCTTAGGGGGCTTTTTGTGGACTGAGATTAGGATCTCAGCCAGTCGAGAGCAGCACCTTTGACGTCAGTACTCTCTTTCATTTCACAGATGTTCACGTTTTGAAGTGGTTAAGTTGTGGTCACTTAATTCTGAAAAAACCCAAAACTTTAGCAGAGGTTCAGTGTCTGCTTAGTTAGCTCTGAAATATATGCAATGCAATAAAGAGTTTATGCAGTGATATTATTTGGTCTGGACACCCTTGAGGCATTAAATAAAGATGAGCAAGTTAAGAATCATACACCGGTTTTCCAAACATTTTACCATGATTGCTCCTGGAGGAATGTACTGTAAGTCACTTTGGATAAAATCTCAGCTAAATGACCTTTTCTGTCCCTGTCTTTGTGGGAGGGTAGTTGTCATGTCTGTGAGTGGAGATGGCTGAAGGACAGAGCTGAACTCTGCAGTCGCTGGACGTGGCTGCAGATGAGACTGTCTGATCTGGACTCTCAGATTCAGCAGCTTGGAAAACTCAGGCAGCAGATCCTCTCTAATAAGGTAAAGAAATAACACAGCATCTATAGATTAGGAGGGAAATTGGGCTGTGCTGTTGGCACTGTGGGGCAAAATTCTGAATTTAAGAATGGGCTCTCTTTCAATTCATGTGAGAAAAATAATTAACTGAATTGCAATTCAGTAACAGTCACACAACAGACGAATTTCTTTAGTCCAAACAGTCAAAATATAAATGCTGTTACAAAACATAAACAATGACATGATAAATTTTGACTTACTCTGTCTATATTCTTTACTAATATGTGGAATAATTTAAAAAAAGTCAATATTTTAATTGTTGCATTAAGCTCATCAAGCTGATTACCACATTTTTGTTTTAGATTTATAAAAATACATATTGTCAACAGCATTTTAATCTATTGATTATATAATATATTGAGTAACTTGGAGCAATCTAAGAAATGAAGCGTGCTTCTACCACAGTTACAAAATTAATTTATTAAATAAAATGCACTTTATAAAATATAGCACACTTAATTTCCCAGAATGCACTAATTAAATTAAATTAAATTAAATTAATTAAATTAAACATTATTTTGTGTTTTTGTTTTCTTGGCAACCAGCTGAAATAGTACATTTTTAGTTTTTTTTAAAAGTATGTTTATATGCTTTGTTTGAACTAGTCATGAAAATGTTTTATTAAACATTTTGAAATGTAGTTCATACTGAAAAATTATAATAAAATGTATTAGGATGAACCACATTTACACAGTTACAGTATATGAATTTCTTTGATTAATTTTAGTAAATTTTAATTCTGCTTAAATTAAATTTATAATAAGTAATTCTGAATCTATTTGTTGCTTCAATTCAGATTAAATTCAAATTGATGAATTAAACTGGATGCAAACAGTTTTACATTTTTTTAATATATGTGCCCCTAACATGTCCTCCAGGGTCATGTGATTTTGGCAGTGTCTCAGCCCCTGACAGACAGGCAGATTCAACACACCTTGTGGACAGAGACTATGGATCTTTCATTCACAGCTGGGAACATGCAAGATTTGCACTCTGATCTAGATATGGAACCCATCAGCCCCACACGCCTTCTGAGGAACATTGAGAGACAGGTGAACGAAAGAAAACCACAGGCGCCAAGAACATAAATAAGACAAGATAAAATGTATTTTGTTCATTTAAAATTGATTGAATTGACCATATTTAATTCATGTTTCTGTATGTGCTTAGAGTGCCCAGCTGACTCAGATTGTAAACAGCTTCATGCCATCTTTGTGTGCCTCTCCTTCCTCATCACCTGTGTCTAAAGGACCTTGCAATCGCTGGAGAGGTCAACAGAAAACAGCTTACAGTGGGTGAGAGGCAAACAAGCACCTACAAGCCTTACAAGCTCATCAACAGGCTAAAACGAACCTTAAATATCTCACAGGAATAGCAATTGTGATTAATTTACATAATTGTTATTGAAGCACTGGTTGCTAGATTTTTATTGCTCAAGAAAGGAGATTGTTAGAAGGATATTCCACATTAGAGAAAAATGTTTTGTCACTTTTTGACGCAGTATAGGTCATTTTACTTAGTCTTACGTAAACTCCAGAGACACCTGAGGGGAAGCAGTCTGTCTTGATTTCATTCATGCATTTCATATTCATTGCAGCGCTGTAAAAGCGCTCTCATTCAGATTCATAATTGTGTAAATTTATGTAAATCTTATATGAATGTTAGGATGAATCATTCAGCCCAGTGGAAAACTGAAAAAGTGAGAAAGACATTGAGAAGAATTAGAAAGATGGAAGATGAAAAAGTCTGATTGGAGAAGAGAACCAGTGAAACTTGCTCTCTTTATTTGTCATATGATCAGATTTCTGAAGATTTTATCCCTACTTTTGCATCCAAGTAACACACACGGGTGTCTTTGTTCCCAGTGGACCACAGTGTTTACACAAGGCCAGGCAGAAGAGGAAGCAAACATGTCACAGAGGCCAGTACCTTCCTCAGGTGGACGTCACCTGTATGTCAGCCCGGACGCGACCCCTTCTGACCTATCACAAGCCTAGACTTTTCGTCATGGACCCACTGTCTCACAGAGAACAGGTTGGCATTTTTAAGCCAACGTCTTAAAGTTAAAGTGTCTTAACTTTCGGGACTCTAATCAAATAATGAGTTGGCATGGCATACCATACAATCCTGTTGAAAGTCTGTAATGCTCACCAAGGCTGCATTTCTTTGCTTAAGTAACAGTAAAAACTGTAATTTTGTGGAATATTATAAAAATTTTAAAAACTTTTCTCTGTTTAAAACAAAGTTTAAAAACTGTAATTTATTCCTGTGATGCAAAGTTGATTTTTCAGCAGCCATTACCCCACTCTTCACATGATCCTTAAGAAATAATTTCTTATTATTATTATCAATGTTGACAACAGTTGTGCTGCTTAATATTTTTGTGGAAACAATACTTTTTTCAGGATTTGTTGATGAATAGAAAGTAAAAAAAAAACATTTAGCAAGCAAGTTGAATCAATTTAATACATCCTTGCTGAATAAAAGTATTAATTTCTTTCTTTAAAAATCCAAACTTTTTGAATGATAGTCTACATACTACAGTCTCACAGTGATTGCTGACATAACAGCATAATGTGCTTGAGTAAAAAAGGGAGAACACAGCTGTATGTGATAATGCCTGAACTAGTGGGACTTGTACTGCTGAGTGCTGTGTCCAACATTTACACTAAATGTGTGTATGTGTATGTGTGTGTTTTTTTCCCAACAGCCCCCAGTGGAGTTCAGAAAGAATAACTTAGCTTTTGTTCTGTCCTTTCCCTTGGGAACTGCTAACACACAGTGCTCAGGCCAGCTGTGCTTTCATAAATGACGATAATTTTATAATTGCTGTGCCCTCTATGAGCAGCCTGGACCTGTAACTCAGATACTGTATACTTCAATCTGAACCTAGAAGCACCGGGATGAAGATGCATTTGCCAAATGGAGAGTAATCAGAACAAAATTCTGTCATCATTTACATAAGATTTTTTTAACTGCTCTTGTCCATTCAATGATATTAGCATATTGTAATCATAGGACAGCTAAGCTTGAAAAAAGACAAGCACATACAATAAAATGGGTTGTGCAATGTAACAAGACATTCCAAATTGTAGTTGTATCGATTGGCTGACGAGATAAAATGAAGAACCATTTTAAATAAAATTAAATATTATTTAAATATTATAGTGATTATTTTACCAGTCTTCCTTCATTTACTGAAAAATGGTGTGGAAAATTTTCTGTTTTATTTATATAAATAAAACTTTAATTCAGTTGTATTTATTTATTAGTTCTTTTATTTTTTTACATTAATCACGTTGAATCTTATTGGCAAAAGCAGCTGTTTGTAGCCTAGCAAAATAAATCAAATATGTTTGGAACAACATAAGGGTGAATAAATGATGACAGAATATTCTGAGTACAGAGTTAGTCTTTTTAATAAAGCAGTTATTTGTGCGTGTACCAGCCCTCTTCACATTGCACTATAACTCACACCACATTCTGAGTCTGTTTTCCAGCTGGTGCCTGCCTGGTTCACTTCCTTTAACCTCGTTTATGATTCTTATAGATGTCTGATTTTGGCTGCCATGATTTTCCTTTTCATGCATTTCTTATGTCGTAATGGTTCCCCAGAGCACTGCGTGTTATAGATTTGGCCTTTATTAACTTAGTTGTTTACATCCACCGCTTTTTATTTGTTTTAACGCATAGTTGGACAAATCAAGACTGGATTCTGGATGCAAATCAGGCCTTTAGCATCAGAAAGAGACATTTGTTTAGTAATTATGCTTTGCAAGATTTGTGTTCTTCCCATTTACCCATAACTTTGGTTACATGCACTCTGTCTTTCTCTCCCACAGGTTCTGGAGTCTTCCCATTCTCTTTGTGATCCTGCATCTGTGTGCACAGATCCTTCATGTCTCCACAGAAAAGACAAAACAGATGGCAAAATGCATCCCGCTCTATCACTTTCCTCAGGTAGAGAGAGATGAATGCATTATGTTTAAAATCTGCCTTTTACCATCTTGGATGGATTTTTTAAAATCCTGTCGCAATGCATTGTAGACTGCCTTCTCGACAAAGGATACGTGTGATGCTCTTTTAAATGCCCTAAAAATGCTACCTATGTAGGCAGCTCACTACTGTAGGTTTTGGCTCATAGCTTATTTAAGCAGTAGAAGAGTGTTCATACTCTTGCTGAGGTAATTGGATGTTATGATCTTAATGGTTAATATTACAGCAATCCATTAATCGCTCATCGCTCATTTCAATATGGTCTAAATAAATTATCTCATATCAGACAGTTACTCCATCAGCATGTCAAAATTTTGCCGTTCCTGCTGTCTTACTGATTGTATGTAGCAGCAGGAATTTGGAGTAGGAAGCTCAAATCAGCCTTGGTTGTCATCAGTATAAAACTTCAGCATTCAGTTCATACTTTAATATGACATCCAGACATTTATTCAAATTGCCAATGTTTTGACATTTGGACAAGGTATTTTAATTGGTTCTTTATGTGCAAATGTTTCCATACTAAATAACCATAGACTTATATCACCACAGTGAACTTTTGTTTGTGTTATACGTATAAGTGAGGTTTCTCTTGGTCTGCTCTAACCATCAGAAACTCCATTGTCCTGCCATCTGCAAAATTCTCTGTTTGAGGAAAGTTTGCTTCAGCGATCTCTCCTCCTGAAAACTGAGCGCACCAGTCCCCATCACTGTCTCAGCTCCAGAGGCAGAGTTTCCCGGTCTTTATTCCGTAAGTCATCTCATGGCATTTGTGTGTGTGTGGATGAATGAAGACATGTACTGTATGTAGGTGTGTATGCTTTGTATAAATGTGTTTGTATAAATCTGCTTCTTAGGCAGCATCCTAACTGAAATGGATCTACTTGTGTCTACAAGTGTCTGATTTGGGAAGCTCTACATTGGGCAGAAACACCATGTGCGAAACAAAGAAACTCAAATTGTTTTTCTCAGTAGTTTGCTATTAGCATTTTAATAAGCTAATAATGAGACACTTTTATAATAATACACATCAAATATAATTATCAGGTATTAGTCAAATTTCTATTAGATTTAAGTTTTCATTTATGAACTATTTATTTATTATTTAAAAAATAGTTTTATTATAATTTATATATTTTTATTCACTTAATAAAGATAGTAAAGAATTTTACATTGTAAAAATCTATTTAATTAAATGCTGTTCTCTTGAACTTTCTATTTATCAGAGAATCCAGAAAAATAACTGTTTCCACTAAAATATTAAGCAGCACAACTGATTTCTGCATTGATGATAATAATAAAAAAAATGTTTCTTGAGCAACAAATCAGCATATTAGAATGATTTGTGAAGGGTCATGTGACATTGAAGACTGGAGTAATGGCTGCTGAAAATTCAGCTGTGTCATAACAGGAAAAATTTACATTATAAAATATTGAAATGGAAAAAAGTTATTTTAAATTGTAATAATATTTCACATTATTACTGTTTTTGCTGTATTTTTGCAAAGAAATGCAGCCTTGGTGAGTATAAGAGATTTTTTTAAAAACATAAAAAAAATGTACTGACTCCAGGCTTTTTGAGATGAACCTAATTGATTTCAATCACAATCAGTATGTTTTTGCCGTTCCTGCTGTCTTACTGATTGTATGTAGCAGCAGGAATTTGGAGTAGGAAGCTCAAATCAGCCTTGGTTGTCATCAGTATAAAACTTCAGCATTCAGTTCATACTTTAATATGACATCCAGACATTTATTCAAATTGCCAATGTTTTGACATTTGGACAAGGTATTTTAATTGGTTCTTTATGTGCAAATGTTTCCATACTAAATAACCATAGACTTATATCACCACAGTGAACTTTTGTTTGTGTTATACGTATAAGTGAGGTTTCTCTTGGTCTGCTCTAACCATCAGAAACTCCATTGTCCTGCCATCTGCAAAATTCTCTGTTTGAGGAAAGTTTGCTTCAGCGATCTCTCCTCCTGAAAACTGAGCGCACCAGTCCCCATCACTGTCTCAGCTCCAGAGGCAGAGTTTCCCGGTCTTTATTCCGTAAGTCATCTCATGGCATTTGTGTGTGTGTGGATGAATGAAGACATGTACTGTATGTAGGTGTGTATGCTTTGTATAAATGTGTTTGTATAAATCTGCTTCTTAGGCAGCATCCTAACTGAAATGGATCTACTTGTGTCTACAAGTGTCTGATTTGGGAAGCTCTACATTGGGCAGAAACACCATGTGCGAAACAAAGAAACTCAAATTGTTTTTCTCAGTAGTTTGCTATTAGCATTTTAATAAGCTAATAATGAGACACTTTTATAATAATACACATCAAATATAATTATCAGGTATTAGTCAAATTTCTATTAGATTTAAGTTTTCATTTATGAACTATTTATTTATTATTTAAAAAATAGTTTTATTATAATTTATATATTTTTATTCACTTAATAAAGATAGTAAAGAATTTTACATTGTAAAAATCTATTTAATTAAATGCTGTTCTCTTGAACTTTCTATTTATCAGAGAATCCAGAAAAATAACTGTTTCCACTAAAATATTAAGCAGCACAACTGATTTCTGCATTGATGATAATAATAAAAAAAATGTTTCTTGAGCAACAAATCAGCATATTAGAATGATTTGTGAAGGGTCATGTGACATTGAAGACTGGAGTAATGGCTGCTGAAAATTCAGCTGTGTCATAACAGGAAAAATTTACATTATAAAATATTGAAATGGAAAAAAGTTATTTTAAATTGTAATAATATTTCACATTATTACTGTTTTTGCTGTATTTTTGCAAAGAAATGCAGCCTTGGTGAGTATAAGAGATTTTTTTAAAAACATAAAAAAAATGTACTGACTTTTTGAGCTTAACCTATTTGAGATGAACCTAATTGATTTCAATCACAATCAGTATGTTTGTCCAAAATCATTTAGGCACTACTGTCCTCAGTATTTTTAAATACACAGTGATGTCCATGTTCAGTGCAGAGCTGCTGTACAGTTTTAATGCTCTCATCCGCCCCAATCATTAATGGTCTGGCACTCTTCTCTGCTCTGCTGGTTATTGTTTGACTAGGGGGGCTAATGATCCTGAAGCAGCAATGCTATTCTTAACAGAGAGAGATTGCCAGGGCGGGCGAGTGAGTGATTGCAGTGGAATGGAAGTGTGGTACGCATTTCTAAAGCAAAAACACACCTCATGCTGTTTAGTTGATTTTCTGTCAGTGCTTTGGAGCACCCCTGGAGTCAGTGAACGAACTACAAAAAAAGAACTACAAAAGCACTGAATGGAAAATGAATATGCCAGGAATATTTTCTTCGCAATCACCTCATGGTCCCTCTATTCCTTTTTTCATTACATCACCTGGATGTGTATGATCTTTTAATGTCAGTTCTTCTAGAGTCCAGTGTGTGGGATGATGTAAGGTGTGTGTGTAGGCTGCTGGGTGGGTTTAGTCATAGTCTTGTGGTGTATTGTCTGTGTTTATCTCTGTGGCTCAGGCGGTTTATCCACAGTCCTCCAGCTTCCAGACCATGAGTGGAGATCAACACAGACTCACGAATCACATAACTCACAAATCCAGCCTGAAGGCACTACAGTGCATATATCTATCAACCACACACACCAGTGACCTGTCAGTGGGGTCAAATTATTTATAGCCAAAATATTTAGTAGTCTTGTAGCCCCCTTAGGATTTCCATGACTGCCTCTTTTTTTATATATATATATATTGTTAATACGATCTCAAATAACCCTTGATACTTTTTAGCTCCTGTGTGTTGATGAGTCCAAGTACAACAACCCCCCAAAATAAATAATAAAATATATTTTTAAAATTAAATGAAGCCAAAAATATGAGGATCATAAAGTTTTTTTTGCATTATTTATATAATTTCATAGTTGTACTTAAAATAAATATATTATCAACGGTGATTCTCAGTAGATGCACATGACTAGTTTGTATTTAATTCATTCAGAAAAATTGAAGGCAGTATGAAAAATACTTTAAATAATTATTTTAATGTATCTTTTTTTGCATTATACTAATAGAATGTAATTCTTATACATTATGTAAATTGTAATAGAAATGTTACAATGTGAAACAATTACGAATGGCCATAAAAAGGCTTAATTTTCTGTATGCTAAATACAATATATCTTACTTTCATTTGATTTTTGGATGAAATGACTTGGATGTGTTGACAGGTTTTGTGAAACTCCATGTGTATCCATACTTATGCATATTTGTTTTGTTCTTATGAATATGCCTGTTCTGATAAGTAGAGTGTTCTATAATTAATGATTACAGATTGCAGTCATCAGCCCAAAAATGGGAGGCATTTGAAGAGGCACAGAAGGGAGAGCACTCCTATACAATGGGCACGTACCCGAGACCACCAGAGTCCAGATTACAGGGAGGGCAAGAGGAGGCGGCGCTGCTCTGAGAGGCCAATGGGTACTTCATGTGTTTAATTGCCCTTGGTGTTTCACTTATATACACCAAAGATGTTTAAGGTAGTAATACTGCTTTGTTCTAGACATCTCCAGTATTACACCCAAGTCTGATCTGGTCTCCCAGAGTGATGACAGTCAGGTGGAGGAATCTTCAGAGGATGTGACTGTCTCTTACTGTACACCCACACAACAGAGAAACTCACAGGTCTGCCCTTTGGCCAAATCTGTTGATAAATACTGTATATTTCAGTTTGAGCGAATCAAAACAGAGATAAATGTTTCTTACCTTGAAGGGAATGTTTGTCTAGTTGAATGTTAACATTTTGAGAAAGATAATCATATACTGTCCCTTTTTTTTTACTGTAGTTCTCATCGCGCAGGAGAAATTGTGAGAGTATTTTCAGCATTGATGACATTGTCGTTCCTATGTCTCTGTTTTCATCAGTGAAAGTGGAAAGACTTAACTATAAGAACATTTTGACACCCAGGTATTGATTGTTTTCACACTGCATCAATGACAGCAGGGAGACATTAGTACCTGTTTATATTGCAGTAGATCTACACTACTGTTCAAAAGTTTGGGGTTGGTACTTAAATAGGAGAACTGATTCCTCTTTGTCATAAATCATGATAAACCCATAATGAACATGCTGTGCCCCTTTATATAACTCCAAATGCAGGGATTCAGCTTATGATCACTTTTCTTAGTGTAATTTATCTTCCACTGCCTTCAAATCAGTTGTCTTCTTCATTTCTTCTTCCCTTTCCTTGTCTTCCTTTTCTTTGTCTTTCCAAGTCAGTAATTTTTTGTATTTTTTTCACCTTGTAAAAAAAGTTTGTGGTTAGTAAGATTTTTAATGTATTTTAAAAAGAAGTTTCCTATGCTCATCAAGGCTACATTTATTTGGTAAAAAATACAGTAAAATTGTAAAATGTTATTACAATTAATTTTTTTCTATTTTAATATATTTTACTATTCATTCCTATGATAGCAAAGCTGAATCTTTCAGAAATCATTCTAATAAGCTGATTTGGGGCAAAAGAAACCTTTCTTACTATTGTCTGTGTTGGAAACAGTTGTGCTGCTTAATTTTTTTGATACTTTTTTTTTTCAGGATTCTTCAATTAATAGAAAGTTCAAAAGAACAGCATTTATTTGAAATAGAAATCTTTTGTAAATTATAAATATCTTTATTGTCACTTTCAATCAATTTAATGCATCCTTGCTGAATAAAACTATTAATTAAATGAAATAACATTTCTGACCCGAAACTTTTGAATGATAGTGTATCTGAGTGCCAATATTATGGTAGTTTTACTGTTTTGAGTGTTTTGTTTTCGTTTTTTTTTGTATATATATAAAATCAGAATTGTCGTTAAGTCATATTTTTAGTTATTTTAGTAAAAAAAATAATAAAATACATTTAATTTGTAAACGATTTAATTCACTGGATTATCTAAAACTAGGCATTTCTAAGCAGCTTTATATTCAAACCATTTTTGTATTGAATTGCCAGAGAGAAATAACTATATAATGATATATATCAATACTGTGATGTAAGCTTTTACTTCTACCGCCCACCCATAAGAGTGCTTGATAGATTGTCAATGAGCCACTTTCAGTAACTTGGCTGATGCATAAAGATGTGGATGAATTCATGTTTGAATTTTAGTTTTTTTCCCCTTTCCTGTATTCCGTTGTCTTTACTCCCATCAGTTGGCGAAAGGTGGATATTTTATCGAAAAGCGAGGAGGATGAGCAAGAGGAAGGGATGGTTGGTTTGCTTTGTGATAAACTCTCTGTAGGCCATAAAAATGGTGAATGTCAGCAGTTGCAGGGTGTTGTGGAGTGATGGGCTTTATCTTTCTCAGTCAGAAGCAATAGAAGATGAAGATTTCTTTCAGAGGCACCAGAGTTATGAGCGTAGAGAGAAACTACGCTGGTCCTACTGGGATCAGGACAGAAGACACAGGATCAGGTCTGTGTGTATTTTGGTTTATTTTAAAGCTATATCATTGCACATATATTCTCCAGTACAAATTTTCTGAATTTTTTTCTCTCCACAGGTCATCCAGGAAAATCTGCTCTTCTGTATCTGTGAGAGACCATCCTGCTCACTGCCACCCACCTGTACATTCTCCTGTTCCCTTCACCTGGACCTTCAGTACTTCTGAAGATTCATCAGAAGCCAGTGTGGATGAAAAAGAGGTAAAACCTTCTTAGTAGTGAAAAATTAAATTAAATAATTAAATGATCAAGCTTGTATTCATTTGTTTCTCTCTTATGTAGCCAACGCAACCATGGAGGAGACGTACGTTCCCCCTGACTGGTCAAGATGAGGAAGCCTTGAGGTGTGATCAAAATATGAGTGTTCTTTAATTGTACGTCCTTATTTCCATTCCTTGTGTCTTAAAGGGGTCATATGATGCTACTAAAAAGAACATTATTTTGTGTATTTGGTGTAATGAAATTTGTTTATGCGGTTTAAGGTTCAAAAAACACATTATTTTCCACATACTGTACATTATTGTTTCTCCTCTATGCCCCGCCTTTCTGAAACGCGTCGATTTTTACAAAGCTCATCGTTCTGAAAAGCGAGGTGTGCTCTGATTGGCCAGCTATCCAGTGCGTTGTGATTGGCCGAATACCTCAAACGTGTGACGGAAATGTTACGTCCCTTACCATATTGTGACGCCCCTGGGCTGGACTCCGCTTCGTCCACGGTGAAAGCCGATCCGGCGATCGACAGCGCGAAGTTGAAGTATTTCCTCAGCTACCACCACGGATCAGCTCTAGGCATGACAAAGCAGATATTGTCCTCTTTTGGAAGGCCAAACAAAGTAGTTTCGCTTTCACATCGAAGCACACAGCGCCTTCACGACATGGCGGCGGCGGTGGCCAAGAAAACAGCCTGTTAGTGGCGAAGTGGACAAAACAGGAAACTACTTGTAAACACTGTAAACTACTTGATGATTCTTCCCAGTCTGTATGTCAAACTTTGACAGGTCAATGACCTATTACCTACCAACAACCTATTGCATTGCATTGTGTGTGTGTGTGTGTAGTCTTTGATCTCTTTCAGCAATAAGCTGATTAGGCCATCTCACAAGCAGCCCACACTCACTGGGGAAAGGCTAATTGGCTATAAGTAGAGGTCAAGGTTACTGGCTGTCCATGAGATAAGCTCACTTGCTTTCCTTCTTCTAGCTCAATGACTTTTTCACCCTGGTACTGCACTTCTTAAAAGTCTGAACACTCGTCACAACATTAGCTTAAAGTCTTTTTGAGCTGCCTTTTTATCAAGAAGGATCTGATAAGGATAAAACATTTTATTGAGCATTTTTGTTCTGTTAGATTTTTTAAAAATATAATTGTTTTATCAAACCCTTTTCCGTATTTACTACATTGCCTCGTCCACCATCTTGTATTTATTTCATCACTGTGCTCGCTGCAGGACATTTGTGACCCTGGACCACAAAACCAGTCTTAAGTCGCTGGGGTATATTTGTAGCAATAGCCAAAAATACATTGTATGGGTCAAAATTATAGATTTTTATTTTATGCCAAAAATAATTAGGATATTAAGTAAAGATCATGTTCCATGAAGATATTTTGTAAATTTCCTACTGTAAATATACCAAAACTTCGTTTTTGATCAGTAATATGCATTGCTAAGAACTTCATCTGGACAACTTTAAAGGCGATTTTCTCAATATTTTGATTTTTTTTGCACCCTCAGATTCCAGATTTTCAAATAGTTGTATCTCGAGTCTCGACCAAATATTGCCCTATCCTAACAAACCATACATCAATGAAAGCTTATTTATTCAGCTGTATGATTATGTATAAATCTCAATTTCGAAAAATTTACCCTTATGACTGGTTTTGTGGTCCAGGGTCACATATTTCAATTATAATATGAAATTTGATTAAAAATGAATTGAAAAATAAAATTACTTGAAAATTACTTAAAATTAACCGTCTTAAAGATATGCATAAATTGAACTGGGATTTACCGCTCTCATCCCCCAGTAGTTGTGGTGCTCATATTTGTCCCCTGGTTTTATGAAGGGAAAGGTCCCATCATAGCCTGTCAGGTATCCAGCGAGGCCGATCAGCATCTGAGTGAGGAGTGTAGAAGCATTCTTTTGAATCACACTACAAACTACACAAAAACTGACAAAATAATTCACATGATCTTACAACCAGCAGGGGTCTGAAACCCATACCTTTCCAAGGGGTGGATGGACATCAAAGAAGAAGGTGCGGTTAATGTAATAGCTTCCCATTTTCCCGAAATGAGTCTCATCCCAACTGCAAATGGACCATAATGTTCACTGATCGTGCATTGATAGTAGGTTTACAATCACAATTTTACCCTTACAGTAAATACTCACCATACATGTGGAGGCTCAGTGATTTTGTAAAAGCGTGTACATACAGAGAGCACAAGCACCAGAACCAGAGTATAAACTGGCACATGGTCATCTCTGGAGGGAGAACTGCAGGTGTCCTCCTCGTTTGGGGATCCTTTTATTCGCCTCATTAGAAGTCTCACTAGCAGGCTGGGAAAGGCACTCAGCCCCCTCGTTTGTCTTACATGTTTTTCGATGTCTTACAGCTGATGTGTCTTGTAGCCATCTCACAAGCAGCCCACACTCACTGGGGAAAGGCTAATTGGCTATAAGTAGAGGTCAAGGTTACTGGCTGTCCATGAGATAGGGAAGATATTATCTCTCACTTGCTTTCCTTCTTCTAGCTCAATGACTTTTTCACCCTGGTACTGCACTTCTTAAAAGTCTGAACACTCGTCACAACATTAGCTTAAAGTCTTTTTGAGCTGCCTTTTTATCAAGAAGGATCTGATAAGGATAAAATATTTTATTGAACATTTTTGTTCTATTTGATTTTTAAAAAATATAATTGTTTTATCAAACCCTTTTCCGTATTTACTACATTGCCTCGTCCACCATCTTGTATTTATTTCATCACTGTGCTCGCTGCAGGACATTTGTGACCCTGGACCACAAAACCAGTCTTAAGTCGCTGGGGTATATTTGTAGCAATAGCCAAAAATACATTGTATGGGTCAAAATGATAGATTTTTCTTTTATGCCAAAAATAATTAGGATATTAAGTAAAGATCATGTTCCATGAAGATATTTTGTAAATTTCCTACCGTAAATATACCAAAACTTCATTTTTGATTAGTAATATGCATTGCTAAGAACTTCATCTGGACAACTTTAAAGGCGATTTTCTCAATATTTTGATTTTTTTTGCACCCTCAGATTCCAGATTTTCAAATAGTTGTATCTCGAGTCTCGACCAAATATTGCCCTATCCTAACAAACCATACATCAATGAAAGCTTATTTATTCAGCTGTATGATTATGTATAAATCTCAATTTCGAAAAATTGACCTTTATGACTGGTTTTGTGGTCCAGGGTCACATTTTAGGATTCGCTACGCCACATTAGATATATATGCCCTTAGATTTAGACAAAAACAAGATATTTTGGAACAGACTATGATGCCTTAAAATGCTGGTAGACAGTTCACTAGGTTTTGGAACATTATCAGAAATCTCGCTCTCACTACAGCTGTCAGAACTCTGTTTTGCTGCAGAGTGAGTGAATAGAGCCGGTGTGTGTGAGACGCATAGCCACTGTATTGATCTACACTGTGTTCTGAGAGCTCGATAGGCCTCTCTTTCTTTCCCATTCTCTTTTGTTGTGAACTCTGAGAATGGAGATCTTCATTTATAACTCCAGTGACTCCAGTGAGAGGCTCAATGATTTACTTCTGCCAGCAGGGGGAGTTTTACAGGGACTTTGGTGCTGTGTGCTGATATGCACTGCAGATTTATCACTTTGTGTGGAGAACTTAAATGAGAAACAATTTGTAACAAAGTATTCATAGACCCTACTAGTGTTGTTAAAACTAAACAAAATCTGCTGAAATAAAATACAATGTACGTATTAGACAAAAAGCATAAACTTAAAAAACTTAGCAATTGTTAATATTACTAATACAAAAAATTAGAAATGTTGCCCTGGCAGCTAACTGAATAACGTTGACGTACTAAAATTACTAAAACTAAAACTGAACTAAAAATAAATGAAAGCTAAACAGAACTATTTTAATTGCTAAAACAATAAAAAAATATTAAAACTGAAAATATATATTCACAGACCCTACTAGTGTTGTTAAAACTAAACAAAAACTATTAAAAATAATGCTCAAATAAAATACAATGTTAGACAAAAAGCATAAACTTAAAAAACGGATCGCTTTGCTTTGGCAAATAATTTAAATAAAATAAGTTTTATTAGTCAATTTAAACAAACGGATTAAAAGTAGCTTAAAATAAAAAATACAATATACGCATTGGACAAAAAAACCCTGAAAAATTTTGACGTACTAAAATCACTAAGGCTAAGACTGAAATAAAAATAAATTAACGGAAAAAATATAAAATATTTAAAAAACAAAAAATATAAAAACATCAAAAACTGAAAATATAAAATCTAATTCAAAATATTAAGTAATATTTATGTATTATTTAAATACATAAATAATATGATGATAATTTTATATTAATATTATAGTATATAAATAATAATAAATGAACACTGGACTGGGCAATAGTAGTGACTGAAGTGATGAAGTGTTCAGTTCTCCTGAGAGATTTCTGTTTGCACACTGATCTGTCAGAATCAGTTGATATATTCCGACTGCAGTCCTGACAGAGATGACAGAAATGATACACTAACTCTCCTCAATCAAATACTAATGCACGCCCAAATCTCACACCTATTTGCCTGTCTTGGACGCAGGACTGTCTCCATAGTGATAAAGGCTCTTGATGCGCACTGGGCCTTCATACAGCTTTTCTAATTTAGGAAGTGGAGAGGATGGAAGAGCTTTCTTTGAGTGTCTCACTCACTTTGCTTCCACTATATTTTTGTCTCTATGACAACATGACTCAACCAATATCTTTTTAATTTTGCTTTGTAACACTGGCAAGCTTCTGAGGTTTGAAGGGCGGCGTTTGTTTACTAAGCTGGAAAAGAAAACCCATTGTGACTATCAACGTACATTGGTGTAAACATGTCAGTCGTTTTAACTGGCCTCTTGAGGTTCATTCATAATTTATAGACCTCTTATTTCCGCCCAGAGATGAATGTGGTTATACTAAGTGTGAGATTCTGTTGCCTAACATTCGAGACATGTCGTTAAGTGAGGGTGTGTTACATGCTCCTAAACCTAGCAAGGGTTTGCCGTTATGTCCAATTTAAGGTCACACATTTAGTACTTAAAGGGATACTTCACCACGCCAAAAAATTACAATTGTTATATTTTATATATATTATATTCACTACATATATATATACACACTACCATTTAAAAGTGAGGAGGAGGTAAAACAAAATCTGCATTTTTTTTTTATAAAAACAGTATTTTATTTTATTAAATAAAATCCTTCAGAAATCATTCTGATATGCTGATTTGGGGCTCAAGAAACATTTCATGTTTAATATTTTTGTGGAAACCTTGATACACTGGTTTTCAGGAACTTTGATTAATGAAAAGTTCAAAACAGCATTTATTTGACTTTTTTTGTGACATTATAGATGTCTTTACTGTCACTTTTGTTCAATGCAATGCATCCTTGCTGAATAAAAGTATCAATTTCTTTTAAAAAGTCTTACATAATTATATACGTTTTAAATGTTCATTATTGCACATTCAAACATAATTGTTATTGAAGTTAAAGGATATACGTATATGTAGTAGGCATGTGTACTATATCATTTTACTTAATTATATAATGATGATTTATAATATTACTTAATTATATAATGATATTTTTTGAAGAATGTTATTAATAACACCTCATTTAGCGTTGTTATTTTGCCTCGATAAATTTTATATCGTTTTTCTCTGGATGTCCATATGCAACACCACACGGCAGCAGTTACATTGGCAAGTCCACACTGTGATTTATGGTAATTATTCAGTAGTGGGCGGGATTACGCGGCAGTGGGCGGGATCTAGTGTGGGTGGCTCTTCACCACCGGCTTTCACTGCACTCCGTGAGGAAGCCTGCAGCGGACGCAAGACGCCGAACAGGTAAAGCACTATATTTCAGTATTTACAGAAAGCCATAATATCGAGTTTAAACGGTCAGCATGTTTTGCATATGCATATTTGCATATTCTCTGAAGTTTTCTGACACGTTGCTATTTCAATTCCTCTAATCCGTGCTTTTGAAGATGGTAATGGGACAGATAATCCTTATTGCTTGAGAAAGGACGCATTGTTCCATTCACTGCAATGGTGCTGATAGAGACTGCTTCAGATTGCTAGAATATATATAACAGTCCTTATTCCCTTTAGATACATTGCTTAACTTTTGAGAATGTGGGCCACTTTCGTTTGATTCTCACAGGAGTACTGCAATTCTTTACTTTTATCTGTTTAAAAATGCTTCTTTGTCCTGAAATCCCTTGATTTTGATGTTATCGTCTTTGTCTTTAAGGGAGTGTATTATTAATAAAACTAATCTGATCTGCATATGAAAAGAAGGAGACCTGGTCAAAGGCATGATTTGGTTTTGTCGCAGGAGAGATTTTGCAGTCCAGCAGAGATGGTGCTGAAACAACAGCTACCCAGCTGAGTTATTCTGCTCCTAAACATCCTCTTATTTTTACCAGTGCTGATTTTGATGTCCTATTGTTTTACGTTTATGTCTTTGCTGAAATGTAGACCTATGGTAGCTGTTTGTGATTATCTCTGATCAGTGCGTTTTCCCCATCTTTAAACACCTGCCATCATAGGTTATGCTGAAAAAGATCAGAATCAATTTGCACACCACTGCCTTGAGACTATATAAAAAAATTCCCATCAGTGATGACGATGCTGTTTCTGATAAGACATGATGCATTCCTGCATTGGCAGTCTGCCGGCTCACGCTTATTCATGAAAACAGAGCTGTGAGGTTTAATGCAGCGCCCTGCACTGGATGACTGATATCTGCGCAGTCATTGTGTCCCTATATGTGTGAGACATATCTTAGAAAGTCCATTGGCATTCAAGTGTTAGCATGTCTACACGCCACACCACTGGTCAGATGCTTTGACCATCTGTTAGTAGACTGCTCTCTTCGTCAAATAGAACAGATGTTCAAAAGGAGGCAAAAAGTTGGACCCTTGCACGCACACACACACACACACACACACACACACACACACACACACACACACACACACAAACACATATATCCTGGTGGGGAATTTCCATTGC